GGGAAGATGGAGGAAAAGGCTCCTGGGCTGGGGGGACCTGTGGAACACTGGTTTACCGAAGTTTTCCTGGGCAATGTATTACATAATATTGCTTATAGAAATCCTGTGAGATCAGCAGAGAAAGGGTATTTATTTCCATTTTATAGATGAGGAAATAGAGACCAAAGATGAAGTGGCTAGTAGGGACCAGATCTGTTCAGGGGGCCTAGGATCTAAATCTTTTGACCCTCATTGTGCCAGGCTACAAGGACCCAAAGAAAGAGATTCCTTCTGCAAATGTGTATTGAGCACCAATGCCCAAATGACATCAGAGACCCACATGGCCTTATAGTTGGGACTGGCACTTGAGCTAGATGGCCTGTGTTTGAGTTTGGTTCTGGTTCAAGTATTTGGGTGGACTTGGGCAAATTATTTAAGCTCTTTCCTAGTTTCCTCATCTCTAAAGTGGGAATGATAGCTACACTAGCCCAGGGACACTCATCAAGATGAAATGAGACAATGCCTCTGAAGCACTCAGTATGGCTCCTGGACCAAGGCCGGGAATCTGTAACATTAGCTCTATTGTTATTAGCTACATAATAGGTGGGATGTGATCCCTGTCCTCCAGGAACTCAGAGTCTATTAGATTCTCTGCTTATTAATTTTGGGGCAAGTTTCATTGAACTGCTGAGCCTTGATTTCTTCACTTGTATAAGGGATCTAATAAGCTCTACCTCCTGGGATAATTTTGAGAAGTACATAGCACAGAATAGATACTGTAAGTGTCTGATATTCTTTTGGTTGATTGGCATGAACAGTGAAGGACTCAGGCAAAGTGCCTGCTGACTGGATGGGGACCAGGTAATGAGGGCTAGGGTCTGGGGTAGGAAGAGATGAGTTGGAATGCTTCACTGAAGAGAGGTTTCAGCTGGGACCCAGAGTGGCACTGGATGTAACAGAGGTGGATGTGGATCTCAGTGGGACCTGGTTTGGGGTATTGGAAGCACAGCCTCTGGGTTGGGAGAGAGTTGGATTGGTCTGCAGGGTGCGGCTGGGTAGGCAGGATGGCTGAGAGGGGCCTGAGCCTGCTCCAATTGCCTTCAGCTCTTCTGTATCCTTCTTTTCCTCTCAAAGGTTCATCTATGAATTCGAGCACTTCAATGGTGTGGCTGAGCTGCTGGAGATCTTAGGAAGGTGACTCTCTCTGGGCCTCAGCTGGAGCATCAGGATTCTGGGAGGAGGGACTGAGGCCCAGTCATCTGAACCCTCCTCATCTCTTCTGTCTCCTCCTCAGCATCATCAATGGCTTTGCACTGCCCCTGAAGACTGAGCACAAGCAGTTCCTGGTTCGGGTCCTGATTCCCCTGCACTCTGTCAAATCCCTGTCTGTCTTTCATGCCCAGGTAAGGCCTAGGCCTGCCCCTGCTGCAGCAGAGAGCTCCTGACAGAGTCAGGGAAGTCATCTGGGCTGCAGGGTCAGCCTGACACTCTGACTCCAGCCACACTAACGCATGAACTCATGGGATCCTCTCTCGCCTTTTTCTTTACTAATTCTGTTCCATCTACCTTAGAGAGGCCCTTTAAGGCCAATCTTAGACATCAGCTCTCTGAAGACTTCCCAGCCCCTCCCTCTTGACCGGCCCTGGGCAGGATTAGGCTCCCCTCTTTCTATATTCCCATAGATCATGACACGGATTTCGATTATGGAAACTTCTGTAAAATTTTTAAGGACTAGTTTGCTGAACGTTTCCCCTGTGAGATCACTGTGTCCTCACACACCATACACGGTGCCTGGTACACCCTAGGTGAATGAGAGAATAGACACAGTAAATGAGCAAATGTCTGGTGTCCTGTCCTGGTCCCCTGCTGACCCATCCTATTCTCTCTGCCTACCTCTTCCCCAACCCTTGCAGCTGGCATACTGTGTGGTGCAGTTCCTGGAGAAGGACGCCACCTTAACAGAGCATGTGAGTACCTCTGAGGGGACAGGCAGGCCCCCACCCCTGCAGGTCTGACTTGTTTCTGCCTCAACTCCCACAGGTGATCCGGGGGCTGCTCAAATACTGGCCAAAAACCTGCACCCAGAAGGAGGTATGAAGGGCTTTGATGTCCATCAGAGTGAGGTTGGGAGGGCTCAGATTCCAGAGGGCAGTCACGTGTGCGTCAGGGGAGATGGGAACTGCTGCCCTCTGTGTCCTTACACCCTACCCCAGGTGATGTTTCTGGGGGAGATGGAAGAGATTCTGGATGTCATTGAGCCCTCCCAGTTTGTGAAGATCCAGGAGCCCCTCTTCAAGCAGGTGGCTCGCTGTGTGTCCAGCCCCCATTTCCAGGTATGGGGCAGGGACAGGTCAGGGAGAGTCAGGGTATGGACTGGTAGGGTTGGCACACTGACTTAACATAGCTCCCTCTGTCCTTAGATTTTCCTCTGGACCTTCCTGGGTCTGATAATGGAGAGATGCTGGACTTAGGGTCAGGAGACCTAGGGTCTAGCCTCAGATCTGCCTCCCACTGGCTGAGGAGCCTTGAGCAAATCACTTAGCAACTCAAGTCTGATTAAGCTTCCTCATCTGTAGAATGGGCTTCTTCATCTGTAGTGATCTCTTCACAGATGAGAACTGAAGAGATGGTAGCAAGAACACATTTGGTAAACTGAAATGGACATTTAGGAAACGGCCATGAATGGGATGGATGGTTGTCATCATTTTTCCCCTTTCTTAGTGACCTTAGGTTTCATTAGCCCCACTTCAGAGCCCAGCAAGGCTTCCCCACACCATCCAGACTGGCTGTAACTGATGTTCTCCTGCATGTGTGTGTGCAGATTTTCTCTCATTCTTAAGAGCCATAACCTGGTGGTTAACAATTTCTCCTCACAGTGATTCTGGCACTTCGGTTTACTAAATACCTCATTTGATTCTTACAATAGCCCTATGGAGGTAGCTATTATTAGCCCCACTTTACAGATTTGAAAACTGACGGGTTAAATGCCTTGCCCAAGGTCATGTGGCCAGTGTGTAGTGGGGCTGGGATTCACTCCTGAGCGTTGAACTCCAAATCCAGTGCTCTTTTCACCTTACCACGTTGCTTCCTCTGGTGGGTTAGATGAGCCCTGAAGATGGGGTGTGTGGAGGGCAGGGCTCCCTGGGTTTTGAGTTGGGGATGGATACCAGGCCTTGCACATGGAGGGAAGCCACTGTCAGGTGCTCACTCTCATCTTGCTGCCCTAGGTTGCAGAGCGGGCTCTGTATTTCTGGAACAATGAGTATATCCTGAGCCTCATTGAGGACAACTGCCACACTGTGCTGCCTGCTGTGTTTGGGACCCTCTACCAAGTCTCCAAGGAGCACTGGAATCAGTGAGTGCCCAGGCCTTGACCTAACCCACAAAAGCTGCGGCAGGGCCAACCAGTCCAGAACTAGGGTTACCCCCAGCTAGAGAGGATCAGGGAAGGCATCCAAAGATGGTGGAGGAGTGACGAAAGGAGCAGGAAGAGGGCAGTGCTGTGGAATTCAGGGCTGCATTCTCTGTTTGGGACACAAGGAGAGGCAGAATGCTGGAGAGGGAGGTGGGACCCAACCGAAGTTGCTCTCATCTCCTCACTCCTTCCCTTGACCCTGCCAAGAACCATTGTATCGCTGATCTACAATGTGCTCAAGACCTTCATGGAGATGAATGGGAAGCTGTTTGATGAGCTCACAGCCTCCTACAAGCTGGAAAAGCAGCAGTGAGTGTTGGGGGGCTGGGCACGGAGGGAGAGGGGAGAAAAGCAAACAGGAACCAGTTCCTAATGGTTGGAGGGAACTTAAGAGGGCAACCCACATCCCATCTGATCAGGCGTTTAAAGTCTCTGCCTACGTTCCTGCCAAGTGCTGGGCCATCTGTGCCCAGCTCTCACCTGTATCCTCCAATTATCCTCCTAAGTACTTCTTCTGAGGTATGGCGCCTCCTCCCACCCTTCAGCTGGGGCCTCTCAGGGCTAGGCTAATCTATCTGCCCCATGACCACAGGCTGGGACCAGTCTCTCCTTACTGCTTTCTCCCCTAAGTGAAAGGTTCCCTTTGCAGAGTTGGGTGGCGGCGAGGGAGGCTGGACTGTAGGTCGGGCCCCAGGTAGCAGAACTGCCTCGCCCTCTCTCCACAGGGAGCAGCAAAAGGCTCAGGAACGTCAGGAGCTGTGGCAAGGCCTGGAGGAGCTACGGCTACGCCGGTTACAGGGGACCCAAGGGGGCCAAAGAGGCTCCACTCCAGCGGCTTACACCCCAGGTGGCCACCAGTGGAGGTCAGAGCTAGAGAATCCCCAGAAGGGGAAGAGCTAAACCCAGAGCTGTCAGTCCCTCCATCCTCCCTTCTACCCAGAGGCCCAGAGAGAGACACACAAACTTCTGGCCTTGCCAGAGTGGGCTTGGAGGGCTCCCTACCTGGCCCAGTGTGAGCAGTTTCCACTGGGAGGGAGAGGAGAGGGAGGAGAGATGGTGGTCCTGGCAACAGAACTCTCAGGCCCTCCTGGCAGGGCATGACCAGGGCAAGCTTGACCAGGAAGCTGCCATTGGGGATCTGCCTCTGCCCCGCAAAGCTGGGCTGTACACTGCAGGCAGGTTCCCATCCCCTGCTCCCAGCCTTGGGCAAGGGGACCCAGCCCCTTGGCTGCCCCACCTTGTGCCAGCACAAGGTCTTTCCTCACCCCACCATGGGATCCATGGTCTATTTATTCTCCCCCAGCTCATCTGCAACACAGACATTACCCAGGGCCTGGGGCACCCTCCTTCCTCCCCTCCCTCACCCTATACATCCTTGTCCCCTTTTTATTTATTGGGCAGGGGGAGGGGTGAGGGCACAGGCAGAAGATTCCCCATGCCCTGGGGCAAGGGAGGGTGGTCACAGTAACCATGGTCTGTTCCCCTTTCCCTGGCTGGGGGTAGATTTAATAAAGAGAGAAACTCAAGATCTGCTTGCTTTATTTAGGGGTAGGGACAAAGAGGAAAGTGAAATGATGAAGGACTGGTGAGGAAGCCAGGCAGAGGCAGGGAGGAAGCAGAAAACTCCCGCCTCTCGGGAGGTGACAATCAGAATCTTAAGAGGGTTGGAGCTGTTGTCCTTAATGAGGTTCAGGATATACAGGATCTACTCCAACCTCAAACCCTCTGACGAAGGGGAGGGTCGGGGAGAAGGATGGACTAGTAGCGTGAGAGGCGACACATGTCACACTGGCAGGCCCTGGCTGTGAAGATCTCCAGCTCTTCCCTCCGGTCCCCCCCACAATGCAGGTGCACCTTCACCTGTGGAAGAGGTGGGTGTCTGTTCCAGCCCCCTTCCTTGGGCCATCTTAGAACCCCATCTCCTCTGTCTCCCCTACCCACGATGAGCCACCACCAGACTGGGCCCCCTCACCTTCCTCAGGGTGCTGATGGTGCAGCACTGAGAGACGGAGGTGATGTTATGTCGATAACCACTGGCCACCAGCACAGAGTACCGGGAAGGGAAGGCGCTGGACTCGCAGTGGCCCACACAGGCTTGTGCCACATGGGAGCCCTGGCAGGTGCCTTTGCGGTCACTTCGCACCGTCACATTGAAGGCTAGGAAAACAGGCGACAGTAGATGATTGCCTGAGCCTCACTGCTCCCTCAGGGGTGCTTTCTGCCCCTCAGCCCAGTCCATCAGCTCTTTGCTCCCACCCAGTTCTCTGCTCCCAGGTTACTTACGGTGCAAGTGGCAGCCTGGGATGGCCGCCTGCCGACCCTGGTCTTCAATGACTGCCAGGACCAGCAGGCAGAGGAGCAGGGTTTGGGGGGACGCCATGGGCATCTGAAACACAGTGGGTAGATAGCTGTCTCTAGATGGATATGCAGGTCGGAGGGGGAGTTCTTTAACTACTGCATGCCTCCAGGGCTAGGCTGGTCTTTCTCATTGGGGTGATGCATGCCTGAGGGGCTGTCTTTTCCATATATCTGTCTTTTCCTTGTATCTGCCTTTTGGTGAGTGTGTGTGTGTGTGTGTGCGCCTGTGATTGAGTGTCTCCGGATGAGTGTTGAGTGTGAGCAGCTGTCTCAATGTGACTTGTGTGTCAGCCCACTGCAGTGATTCTCCCCTGGAATTTCCCCTACCATCTGGAGCATAAACCTCTGCCTCCCTCCATCTGCCCTGTCTTGGCCTGCAGATCCCTTATCTGCAGCCCCAGGCCCTCCCAGGTCTCCTCCTGCCTCAGTGAGCTCACCACTTCCAAGGCCGAGGAACTGAATGGCTTGCTGAGTGGCTTGCTGAGTGGCTCTTCTTGCCTCCTGCTGGTCTCCAGAAGATGCTGGCTCTCTGGGTTTTTATTTGCCAGTGTTCTGCAGCCACGCCCTCTTGGAGATCGGCTTTCAGGCCTGCCTCTCTGCCTGAGGTCTCAGCAAAACCACCTGGGAAATCCTGCTCTTCTCTGAGGTGTGGTCCTCAGAGAGCAGCTTCTGCTGCTTTCTGCTTCCCTTCTGTCTAAAAGCTGCCTGTGGCCCAGGGCTGGGCAAGTGAGTTAAGAGAAAAGCCCAGGAGCTGGTGGAGTGGGCAGCATGTGTGTAGTTGGGGAGAGAGGGCTCTAGATTGGGCTGAGTTGTGGCCACCTGTGTTCTCTTCCTTGCTGTGTGACCTTGGTTAAGGACACAAGGACACTTCTGTTTAGGGCCTTGCCAGCCCACTCTTAAAACTACTAAACTCAGCCCTGCTTGTCTCTTTCATCCACTGCAAAGGAAAGGGTGGTGAGGAGACTTACGAACAAGGGAAATGATAGCAGTGGGGGTCTCCTGAGAGGTGCGTGATGGCAGAGCCAGGGGGGATTGGGGGTGGGGTGCAGGTTCTAAGTCCATTTCAGAGTTTCACTGTCAAGTGGATGACTTTTCATCCTAGGGGTCAGCTACAGAGTGGGGCTCCCCCAGCCCCTGGAATAACAGGAACCTGACACGTGGAAGAGCCTGAAGCTGTCAACCCCAGCAATCTGATTGTTTAGTCCAGTCCTGGCTCTGGTATTACAGGTGAGGCAACCAAGGCTCAGAGAAAGAAAGTTAGTAAAAGTCACAAAGCTAGTTCATATCAGGGCTGATCTAGAACCCAAATCTCTTGCTGTTCATGCGTGGTGTTAAATTATACTTGGGGCAAGAATGTGGCAAGTTGGAAAAAGACCCCTAGTCAGAGGAGCCACAGGGGCTGGGGCAGGGTAGAGATCAGAAGGAAGCCTGTGGTGATTCTGGCCCCACATACCCCAGGGCCACTTCCCTCACTGACCTGCTCAGAAAGGCAGAGCCAGCCACACAGCCTGCCAGAGCTGGAAGGCACTTAAGAGCTCATCAAATCCTACCCCTTCATTTTCTAGATGAGAAAATAAGAACCAGAAAGGAAAGTGATTTTGCTGAGATCTGACTGTAAGCTAGTTGGAATGGTACTCAGATCACCAGATTCTGGAGCTGTGCCTTTGAGCAGCTTTGTAAAGCAGGCTGTGTTTGGACGGCCGGGCAAGGTGGTAAACACGACTTGTCTCTAGTCCTCCAGTCCTCACATGCAACAGCTTCCCCTTTGGCCCTCCTCCCCTCCAGTCCCAGGCCCTTCAGCAGCCCACCTCTTTTCGCCTCCCCACCCAAGGTAAAGGCATCAAAATGAGAGATTTCCAAGGGACCTCAGCAGTCCAGCCCCAATGTTTCCGCTCACCACGGGAACCTTCCAGCATCTGACAGATAATAAGCTTTGTTTAAAAGCTAGAGGTGGTGACAAAGGCTCATTACCTTACAAGGTGACCCATTCTAATACTAGACATCTCTATGGTTAAAAAGTGATTCCTTTGTTCTGAGCTAAAATGAGTTTCCCTAAATTCCCGTATTTTGATCCTCTGTGGCCTCACAACACAAGTCTAATATGTCTGTCTCAGATCAGCTGTTGGGTTACATGAAGAGTGAGGTCTGGGGTGAGGGTATAGCTCAGTGGCAGAGTGCATTCTTAGCATGCACGAGGTCCTGGGTTCCATCCCTAGTACCTCCATTTAAGAAGAAGATGGTGGTATAGTGGTGAGCGTAGCTGCCTTCCTAGTACCTTCATTTAAAATAATAAACAAACAAACAACCTAATTACCTCTCCCCACCACCAAAAA